TATGAACTTTGATGTATACAATTTCTTATATATACAATAATTAAATAAATTAATATAATAAAATTGAAAACAATTATTTATTTTTTATTATATTATATACTATATATTATTATATAATTATAATTTATATAAATATTATATATATAATATATATAAATAATATATATGGATCGTATTGGCTTGAGCCGCAGGCTGGGCCATGCCGGATGTGGGCCACGGGTGACACGACCTACTTGGTCGTGCCATGCCGGCCTAACCACCGGACCTAAAACCCCAGGCCTAGCACAGACCACATGATCATGCGAGCCTAGCATAACCCGTCTGCCATCGTAGCAGGCTAGTCCAATGTTGAGGTGCGGGCGACATGGCCTGATTTACACCTTTAGCCAAAGAGTGAAGAGATTCTCACCTTGGGCAGCGAGTCCTTACAGTGCTGGGAGTGTCACTGTGCTCCTGGTTTGTGGTAAAAATGTCAGATTCTAAGGTGGTCACCACCTGAGCATTAGGGGCATCAATTTGTATATTCTGCGAAACTTAGAGACATTAGCACCAACCTTGGTGGTTGGTTAGGCTTGTCTAGTGTTTGCCACGTGTCCCTATTTCATTTGGGGCTTGCGGCGTGCATCAACATTAGCTTGCCGAACATATGGGAGTGTGTCATGTTGGCATCCTTCTACTCATTTGAGCTCCCACAGAACGGGCTCCAAAAACGTTCCACATGCACATGTCAGCACGCATTAAGAATATTTTCCGTATTTGTCTTAGGGAAATACGGGACATGCAAAGGTCCTCATCTCGTCCAGTTATCTCCTTAATCATCCATGTGGCAGTCCAACCTGGACCCGATTTATGACCTCACAACTACTCATTACTCACTAAACCTGTTCACGGGCCAGGTTTTGGGTCAGGCCCATTAAAATTTTGACGAAAACTAAGCCTGAGCCCGGCCCATGAACAGGTTTACTACTCACTCATATAGCTTCTAAATTCTATCAGCGCCATGTTTCTATTTTTTGTGGTTGATTGAAACTTAGATGGGCGATTCAAAGATATCAATTCTAGTGATTTGATCTGCTTTGGGTCGAGATCAACCAAGTTATCTTAGGCTGTATTTGGCATTCCTTGTTTTAAGGATTTATTTTCTTTTTATTGTTAAAAATGCTTCTATAAACATTGAGTTTTTAATTGCAAAAATGAGATAAATCCTTAAAATAAAGAATGTCAAATGCAGCCTTAGAGAATTAATCAAGATGCCAAAGGGAATTGCCAATCTCTGATCAACCCAAAAAGAAAAGATACAGGCAAACATAACCTCCACCTGGAATCAAAGGTAAAAGGCTACTTTGTGCAAATCTCTGAATGGGTAAGCTTTGTTCATGTGCCATGTTAATTAGTGCAGAGACACGAGGAGTGTATAGGCTTTTTGTTTCTGAGATTGCATTTCTTTGTGTGCCGAAATTCTAACTTTAACTTTTAACAGATAGCTCACGAGTGACAATGAGAATAACCCAAGCTGGGCCTGGGCGTTTTGCAAGCTTTTTCCTCACCAGCCCACCAAGTGGGCCAATTCTCTAACCCATCAAAAGCTGGCTCAAGCTCATGTAGCATCCAATTCCTCAGCACCACTTTTTCCTCTTGATTCAAATTGGTTCCAATTTTCTAATTTCTTTCTTGAGTCTTGAGGCTCTTGACTGACAGTTGTTAACTATATATACGAGGAACCAGCCCCAGTAGATCAAACCTAGACTAGGGAAGTAGTCTTGGCCCGTTTTGGAAAATTGGCTAGGGCCGCCGGGTTGTACATTGCTAATCTGGCCAGGGCCCATTTAAAGCCTGGTGGCCACGGTTCGGTTAATCGAAGCATGGCATTTTTTTGTAAACTGAACCGGTGGTACCGGTTTTTTTAAATTTTCAAACCAAAACCGAACTGGTACCACCGGTTTACCGGTCAGCTGGTTTCGGTTTTTGATCGATTCGGTTCTTTGGTTTTTCGGTTTCTTATATTTATAATATATATTATACAAATATGTGCATAATATTATATTATAAATAATAAATGATATATAATATATTATAAATATTTGAAAAATATATAATATATTTATAAATAGATCATTATAAATATAATATAAGTATATATTTATTTTATATAATGAATATATATTTATATATAATACATAAAAAATATATATAAAATATACATAAAAATATATATACTGGTCGGTTCAGCTAACCATCCGTTTTTTGTAAATTAACCGAAAACCAAACCGATCTTTCAGTTTTTTAAAAATCCCAAACCAAAACCGAACCGATTAGTTTGGTTAACCACATTTTGTGGTTCGATTTTCTTGATTTGGTTCAGTTTTTCTGTTTTTCGGTTTTTTATGGATGGCCCTAATTATAACATGAGACATGGACTGGGACTGGGACTGTGGTGGCTAGAGTAGTCCCTATCCTAGTGACCACGGATCACTAAACGTAACAGTCTGACAAGTTTTGAATATTGCTAGGGCTACCAATGGGTTGGGACAGGGTGGAATCAGAACCAACCTAACAAGAAATATTAATCCCAGAAACGAACCAATAGATTAGGAATGGGAACTGAGCCATCGATAATCAGTTCCGATCCATCGGGTCAGACTCGATGCATTTGATAGCCCCTAGGTATTGCAGGTCTAAGAATAGGATAAAATGGGTTCAACTTAAAACCTGAAACTGAAAGCCGAGTAGACTCAATACCATGAAGTTAGTTTAGTCTAATTGAGCATTGCATTGACGAAACCAGAGCCATTGGATTTTGACATTCTGCAATCAATCTCTCTTTTTGGCTTTATTCTTGATTCCCAATCCCCTGTTAACATCTGCTTTCTCACATGGATGACCTTTCTCTAACCTCAAATTTGCAACTTCATTCTTTTGCAAAGCAAACATTTCTTCTCTTTCCAATTTGAAATGCAAATGGGAATAAATAATCAAAAAAAGGTGGGAAGAAAAGAGATAATGCGAGGTCAGTGGGTTTTAATTTTAATGTGCTCAAGACCTTAACAGCTAGAAATATTTGCTTTTTCACTTTGTAAAGACAAAAATCATCATAAAAGGCAACCAACAAAAATTACTTTTAAAAGCAAGAACTCTGTACTAAGTAGTGAAAAAGATTTGGTAATTGATTCCTTAGGAACCCTACTTACAAATCAAAATATAATGTTAAGGTTGTTTGGTTGGTTTGGAAAACCAAACCGGTGATTTAAACCAGTTTTTGTCGGGTTAGTTGGAGCATGGACAAAAGCTTGAATTGATTGGACCATTGCAATTGGATAATTAAAAATCTTGGTCAAGAGAGCAAATATATAGGGGAAAATGTATGATAATAGGTGTATAATTAGGGGCCATTTAGTTCGATTACCGTTTATTTAATGAATGTTTTGTATGAAATTTCTCTTGAAAAGCAAGAAAGTTGTTTAACATTTAATAGCTAGACGCCACATAAGTTGAATAGTGAAAAAAGCCTAAGCATTAGAGGAAACATAAAAATGTTCCTTTTCCCTAATAAAGAGTTCTCACACAACTTGAGAAAAACGATATTTCTTTGATAAAAGGTTTAACCAAACAACATTACAAATTTCATTGAGAGAAACCTTTATGTGGCACTGAACTGATACCCTTTTTTCAGATAAACGGCAATAGAACCAAAGACCATCTAGGAAATGAAAGACAATTTTGTCATAGAAAAGAAAAACAAATTTTAAAATTAAAAAAAAAAAATCAGATAGTCTTCTACTTCTCTTTGATTTTCTGAGATAATAGAATGCAAAATTCAGACCAAACTTTAAAACTTTTAACAACCTTCTTCAAGGAAAAAATAATAACTGTTTTTTTGAAAACTGAAAACCCACTAATTGAATTCTTGGAACATTTTTGAGTTTTGTAGTATGTAATCATCTATGTAGTCAGCCACCCGAGCTCCCACTCGGGCCATAGGCCCATAGCCCAAAAAGGAATCTATGTAAAAAGGGGATCCAAATGTTCCCTTAAGTTTTCTTTACGCTGCGTTTGGTTTAAAGGAAAAAAAATAGGGAGAGGAAGAGAAAGATGGGAAAACCTTCACAAACCTTATATATGTTTCCCTACCTTTCCCTACCATTTCCTTCAAACCAAACATAGCATTAATGAATCATTTTTTATGAAAAAAAAAGAACAAGGAATCTATGGTGCCCCCACTAGCATTGCATTTGGGAGTTGGGACATCAGTCCTTAAGGTGCCAATTGGATCAGATTTGATCCAATCTGATCCGATCCAATATGAATCTATTACATATGGACAAGGTCCAATCCAATCCTATGATACTTTGGACCATTTGAATCGGCCTAATTCAATATCTGAACCATCCAATTTATTCAAATTAATTTTAATTTAGATTGATTGTAACCTAAATCTGGTCCATTGACACCTGTATTCTTAGCTTTTTATCAATGCACCAGATATTGGTTTAATCTGACCCAATCCAATGTAAATCCATTATGAATGTACCAGGTCCAATAGAATTCAATAAATACTTTGGACCATTAACTCCAAGACAATTATTGAGTAAACCTGGATCCAAGCATATATAGCTCATAGAAATAATTTTTAATTAATTTTGTTCCTGRTAATATGATATCAAAATTTGCATTTCATAGTTTGATCCCATATGAAGTTGATAAATGTTCATTTGAATTCAGATATTAACAGATCAAATGTGAATATCTAAGCATCTAGCTAGCTATATTTGTTTCAAATCTGATATGTTTTCCTACCCAAGAGAAATTAAAAAAAAAAAATGATCTGTTTGCAGTTCTATAGTTAGGGAATGATAATAAATCAATGAACACTCTCTTACTTCTAGAGCCCAAAATTTATAAAGCAAAAGATAAAGCAACTGCACAGACTCCCCCCAACCTCTACATCCATCCTCCTCCACCCACCACCACCACCCTCTCTCTCTCTCTCTCTGACGGTCCGGCGAATATTGTAAAAAGGGAATAAAAAAGGAATATAAGGGTGAAAACGAGTCGATTCAGTTTCAGCTTTAATTTAGCTTTAGCTTTAATGCTTTTTGCCGGGCAAACACTGGTTATCAACAAGAGGGATGAATTTAATCTTCCTCAAGTACCCATCATCCTTTTCATCTTGTCTTCTTTGTGTGTGTGAGAGAAAGAGATTAGACGAGAAGAGGGAAGAAAACAAAGAAGGAAAGAAACAATGGAGATCTTATCACAGATGTGGTCGTTTCTGGGGCTTCTCACAGTCCTGCAGAACGTCTTGCCATCACAACTCCTCTCTCTCCTCCACTCATTCTACGAGTCCCTCCAAGATTTCTTCAGTCCTTACTCTTACTTCGAAATCCCTGAGTTTAACGGCCACTACGGAGTCGACGTCAACGATCTCTACCGCCATGTCAACCTCTATCTCAACTCCGTCGACCCTTCCGCCACCTGTCGTCGTCTCACTCTCACTCTCTCCAAGACCTCCAACCGAATCTCCTTCACCATTGCACCCAACCACACCGTCCATGATTCCTTCAATGGCCACCGCGTCTCCTGGACCCACCACCTCGAGACCGTCCAAGACTCTATCGAAGAGAAACGCAGCTTCTCTCTCAAGCTCCCCAAGCGCCACCGTCGGACTCTCTTGCCGTCCTATCTTGAATTTGTCTCCACACGCGCCGAGGAGTTCGAGCGCGTCTCCCGCGAGCGTCGACTCTACACCAACAACGGCCACGGCTCATACGAGTCAGGATGGGTCTCCGTTCCGTTCCGCCACCCTTCCACGTTCGACACGCTCGCTCTTGAGCTCGAGTTGAAGGAACAGATAACCGAAGACTTAACAGCATTTGCTAACGGGAGAGAGTTTTATCACAGAGTCGGACGGTCGTGGAAACGTGGGTACTTGCTGTACGGCCCACCCGGCTCCGGCAAATCAAGCTTGATTGCTGCCATGGCGAATTTCCTGTGCTACGACGTTTACGACCTCGAGCTTACGAAGGTTTCGGATAATTCAGAGCTACGAGCATTGTTGATACAGACCACCAACCGTTCGATCATCGTGATCGAAGATATCGACTGTTCACTGGACCTTACCACCGACAGGCTTCTTAAAACGAAGAAATCATCGCCGTCGATCATGGAAAACGGTGACGGTGGCGAAGAGAACGGCCGGGTGACGCTTTCCGGCCTGCTTAACTTCACTGATGGGCTATGGTCGTGCTGTGGAGAGGAGAGGATTATCGTTTTCACTACCAACCATAGGGACAATGTCGACCCGGCGCTTGTTAGATGCGGGCGAATGGACGTGCATGTTAGACTTGGCACGTGCGGGATACATGCGTTCAAGGCACTAGCGATGAACTACCTCGGACTGGAGTGGCACGTGTTGTTCCACGTGGTAGAGAGCTGCATCAGGGCCGGTGGGGCCCTAACGCCAGCTCAGATCGGAGAGATCCTGCTGAGGAACAGGAGAGATGCTGACGTGGCAATTAAAGCTGTTGTATCGGCTCTACAAGAGAGTATAAGTTTGAGGAGAGACCGGAATCTGAACCTGACGACGGAAGGACGTCCCCAGCCTCCGGAGGCTTTACCAGACTATGCGGCGAGGTCGCTGGAGAGCATCGACCGGATGTTGCTGGAATCGCCGGAAAACTGGGAATCTTCACCGCCGGGGAAAGTGAGAGTGAAGAGGAGGAAAGAGGGGTCCACTTGGGATAGAAAAGTCAAGTTTTTAATGCGGTTAAAATCGTTGACCAAATCGGACCCTGGAAGGAGTGGACCGCGAGCCTAAATTTTTTACCAAAGGATTTTCGATTCTCATTGGACGTTGATTGGGTGAAGCGGCTTACATGATACATGTGTATAGGCCCATCGCCTTAAGAAAATACCCAACCCAACACCAACGCCGTTAGTTAATACCTAAAATCTTTTAAATGAATGAACTTTTTTCTTTGGCTAAGTTTGTTTTCAAGGAATTTAATTTGCATTGAAGCAAAAGTATGGGAATGCAGATGAGCTAAATGTAAATTCTGATATGTAGAGTGCAAAATCTTATATTTTGTATGTATTTACGCTGTACATATTTGTATTTGTACTTTTTCCAAACTGAGCCTTAATTATTAACTGCATTTTTAAATACATATTAAAGGCAATTTTCATTCAACTTCAAGAAGATACACTTTGCTTCTCCTATTGAGTAGTGTTCAAAAGAAAAATAGGAATGAGAAGAGACAGAAACCACCTTGTGAGCAGCGACGTGGAACAAAGAATACTGGGAGATAAAGAAAAATATTGTTGAAATAGTCCACATTCAACTTTGGGAACCCAAGAAAAACTGGTATTTAGAGTCTAACAGTTATAAACTGTGGGTGCTCTGGTATGATGTGTTTGATGGGCAATAATTCGTACTTGTTTGATTTTGAATAACGCCCATTATTCGAAGAAATGTTGTTCATTGAGACCCAAGTCTCATTAAGATAGGGGTGTTCATAGGTCAGTTCGGTTCGGTACAAATTATTTTATCAATTAAATCGGTCTGGTCAAGGTGAAAAATTAATCACCCGAAACTGACCGATCATGAGTGAAAAGTTATCAGTTCGGATTGTATCAGTTTGGATTTATATGAAGTGTAACAATTTTGATGTCAATCTCTTATGAGGTGTAATACACTAATAGGTCTTGTTGGAGGTGAGAGCTACCATCCTTTTTTGGTGGTGTGGGGGAATTGAAAATCTACACAATTTGGCATGTTTAAACACCAGAGAGCATCCTTGTCTGAATCTAACTTAACATCTACAACAACCCTATTCATTGAAATTGCAGTTCATATGGGCATTTGGGCTATCTTTTCAGTTCATATGGGCCTATATAATACTCTATCAAATCTAGAATTCTCAAGATCTGTTATCCTTAAATTTGAAATTGTTCTTTAGAATATTTACTTGATTTAATAGTTTGGAAGTTATCCTATTTAGTTTCAACTAGAGAAGGGGAGAATTGGTATTTGGTATGCCTTTAGTTCCTAGATTTAATAGTGTGGCTCAGGCTTCTTTAGTACAAATACACACTAAATCTATTCTACAGATACGCACTAAAATCTTTAGTAACATTATAATTTAGATGCCTAAGTTTACACCTACTTAAATATATTCTTGTACCTATATGTCATTCACATGTGAAGAATATATTTGCCATCTAAGAGTAGTAATACAAGAGAAGAAGATAGCGAAAAGAGAAGGAAGAAGAAGAAGAAATCAAATTATCTCTCATTTTTCCTCTAACCCTTTTTTTATTAAGAATTAAAGTTAGAGTAATGACAAGTATACCTTTAAGTGGGCGGCCAGCTAGGCAGTAACATAAAGAGATTAAACAAAAAAAAATAACAGACCCATTAAGAGAGGCCCATTAGCCAACAATAAAAGAAAAGATATTACAAGAGAAGACATTAGGGCCCATTTGGCCCAATCTCTTTACAGGACTGTCCACCAGTCCATAATAAGTGTTGGGCATGTCCTTAAAAAAAAACCCAAAAAAATAGAGTTTCAAAGAGTACCTAAAGTTGATAAACAACAATTGTCCTTCGGTTAGGAGAAATGTTTGGGAGAGTCATGTTTGAGAGTTTGAGAGAGTTTAGTCATATCTGTGTACCTAATCTCCTTGCTGCATTGCTCTTCAACCTGCATACATTAGAGAAATCTCTTGTAGATGGGGATGGATTTTGACTGATTGGGACTAGAATTGACTTATTGCATGGAGGAACTTATATGGGATGTCTTCCTCTGTTTTCCCCTTCCTTCATTGGATGGAATTATAGCCTTACCTCTAGTTGCAACCCCAAACCTCCCATGAGTATCCCCATAAAAAGATCCCACTTCATGTATTCCGTTGCTTTGTTGAAGTTGCACCCACCCCTCCTTTGAGATAATACTTTTTGCCTTACCATGTAGACTAATAAAGGTTGATCAAGTGCAAGCCTTTGCAATATGTATTAATTAGTTATACCTCACTTTCCCTTAATGTATCAAATTCATATTGTTACTAATTGCACAAACTCAACTATGCTCTTACATTTGTTGTAGGGGGAACAGAACAATAATTCCTTTTATTATGAGCATACCCATTGCACAATCAACACCTCATTGTCCTATGTCGGAATGGGGTACGTGATGATGTGCCTACTTCACCCTCCTCCCTTCTCCTATTGATTGGTGGTTGATCAAATCTCTTCACCAATGGAAATTCGATTTGGTGACCCTTTACTTGTGGCTAGTACTTCTCACTTGGTATAACACGCACAAAGTGGCTATACACCTTCGTGTAAGTTTCTTAATGGAATGCTTTGTCACATAAGCCCCTTAGCCCTACCCTAGTGAATGTTAACACAGTCAGTGCATGTCCACATGGGATGCCACTGACATCCTATACTTTACGTGTGCATGTTCTAGCATCTATTCTTGTCACATTGTCTACCAAATCACTCCCTAAAGTTGGATACTCATACGGCTCCGACCATATAACCCTTAATTTCTAGTATACATAGATAACCATGATTAGACTAACACGCATTAACCATTCAAAACAACCAAACAATTAAAAAAACAAGGAATTGGATATTAACTAGCTTATTTTCTTCTTCAATCAATGATACTATGTAGTCTGTATCCTTAGCAATAGCTCACCATTAAATATGTTGGCCCTCTCAAACCTTTCAATAATCATCTCCATCCATCTCTTGTGAATGTCTTTCAACATCTGAACAATTGGCTTTGTCTTGGATTTCCTAATCCATGGGTTAAATGATTCGGTCCAATTATTGGTTAAATTATCTAACTTAACTATTGGATCAAAACCATGATTGGACCATGTTTCCCAAGAGACTTACTAAGCCCATCATAAGCATCCTTCAACAAATCTTTCACAACCTCCATGTGATGATTGAAATCAAACTATGTGCATGCCCTCTCAGTAGCCTAAACAACATCTGCCACTGCTTTGCTCTTGAGTATCTTCTTAAAATCACTATACAAGTGCCTCAAGCAGAACTGATGGTTATCCCTAGGCGTGCAAGCAGGAACACCATCAACTATCCCCTACTAGCAAACTGACAAGTGGTTAGTATTAGGCTTATATAGTACAAAAGTAATAAGTCAAAAGAAACGATGCTATAAGTATATAGAATGTTCAATCATGAAACAATGAATTGTTAGATACACAAACATGTGATTCAATAATCTAGAGGAAATCAATGTTATAACTATATATTATATACCTTCTATCTGATAGACATAAAATTCCACCCATTAGGGCCATTGGCTGATAGAATTACCCCTCTAATTACACCAGTCTTCATGTGACAACCATCTAAACCAACAATCTTCTTACAACCCTCCAAGAATCCCATATTTGGTCCTCCTAGACAAATGAACATTCTTTTAAAAGTTCTAACCGAGTCTCCTTCTGAAGCAAGTGGGGCTATTAACTTTACAATTGACCATGGGTTGTTAGACAACAAAACTATACAATACTGAATCAGTCAGGTGTATGACTCATCCAAATACCCTCTAATCCTGTCAATGGCCTTTAACTTTGCCCTATGAATTTTCTTCTAGTGTACCTCTATTCCTAATACTCTTTTGATGTTATCCCTAAGTGCATGAACGGATATGTTTAGATCCACATGTAAACATTCCTCTATTTTTCTAAAGAGCCAAGTGTCGGTTGCCTATCTATTGGTTGTAACCCGAAGGCAAGCATGAGTGTCATCAAAGAGTTTCACTAAAAAACTACATCTATCATGGCTAAGAGATGCATATTTGCACCCCTCATCAATACAAATTTCTGTGAACCTACATTTTTCATTCTCATAATTTGAATGCCTTCAATTACACAATGTTGCCTTAATGCCTATCTAAATTTCCTTATAATTCACAAATTCCATTTCCAATTGAAATCTTGAACACTCAAAGTTAAATTCATTACCATTCTCCTTATTCCCCCTTCTCATCTTCTCATCACTTGAGCTAATTGGATTCTCATAATCACTAAAAGGTTTATAATTAGATAACAAATCATTGGCATTACCACCATACACCCAACATCAATGTCTTCACTACCAATCCCACCACCATGATCATCCTCTTCTCCATCTTCTTCAACTTCAGATCTTTCACCTAAAAATTAATAATCTTCATCCAAAAGTTCATCTTCATATTCCCCTACATACTCTTTATCTAAACCATCTTCCTCTTCATAAGAATCACCCCCTCCACCTCATATCCAGCTTCATCAACTTCCTTACCATGATCACTCAAATCTACAACTTCTACTTCTTCTCTAATAGCTTGTTGAACTAGATTAATACTTCTAGTTTCAGCATAAGTGACAGAATAAAATCTCATGTAAGCTCCCATGAATGGCAAACATTGCCAACATGTCATTTTCATTATTCAACTCCCCATCTACCTCCCAACCTAGTATTTCGTATTTAACAGTGACAATGCTACTAGTGGGTATGGAAACTAACCAATAGAGGTCAATAATAATGTCAAGGTAGTACATTATATCATTATCAACATTGTCTATATAGCCTACCTCACCATTCACATATTCCACTTGTTTGTCCTCCACTCCCCACCAAAATTTACAATAAACATGTACCTGCCACCATCCACCCCTGCAAACGAACCATAAATAAGGTTAATGACTTGGTGGTGTGCAACTAAATTACATGCAAAAGTTAGATGACATGGGGTGTAACTAAATTACATGGAAAAGTTATATGACATGAAATGCATACAAATTACATGAGGTGCAACTAAATTACATGGGAAAGTTATATGACATGAAATGCATATAAATTACATTGGGTGCTTTGAGAGCTCATGGAAACATGAAATGCTTAGAAWAGGGTTTCACTTAGAGCTCTTATACATCCCAATGCTAGATGGATGTAACCCAACATTCATCAAATCATCAAATCCCAAATTTATCCTAAATCAAATATATAGTTTAAAAGACCCCTATAGGCCATTTCTTATCCATGAATAAATTAAATA